CCAACTGGAAGCATATTTCATGCAAGCATGTGGACAATATAGAAACAGAGGGAAACATTGATGATCTTCGTCTCTTTCATGGTTTTGAAGACCTGCAGTTTCAGGCACATGGTGGTTATGGCCTGAGGAATGACTATCACATGGATCTTGGCCAGTTCCTAGAATTCCTGAAACAGCATCAAAGTGGACACATTTTTCAGATTTTATTTGGTGTTGAAGGCAAACTTTCAGACAAATAAGAGAAACTGTGTAAGGAGTACTAATTTTGGAGAGCAGCCACTGAAATACTGTGCCTTACAGCTACTGTGAAAAGGGAAACTTGAAATACTTGCACCATTCTTCTGGGATAATAATGTTAGCTTCTGTTCTGAATTGCCACATATTTTTGAGAAGTGTTCACTAATTTTCTAAGACCCTAGAACTGGCATTTGTGACTATGAGCCATGCCTCAAAGTGCCTGCAAGGTGATAAAAAGCCCACATTATAGTATCCTGAATTACACACTCCTGTCTCCTCATCTGTACTGTGTTGTGTGTAGTTAACTTCTGCATACAGCTGGGGGATATCAAAGTGGCTGCAGTCACAGATGAACGTGGCTTCCAATGCAAGAGCACACCCAGCTCAAGGAAGACTCACTGCTACGTTGATGAGTTTGTGTGTCCAGTGTCCCACTGCTTGGCAAAGCATCCACTTCTCACTTCATTCAAATAATCCATTAAATGCAAAGGCTTGTGTCCAACCACAAGATGAAGTTTTGCTTTTCAATAAAAGGCACAGGGGAGGAGAAAGAAGCCCACATCACCCCATCCCTTGTATGGTTTGGGTAGTACCTGTAAAGTTATGTTGCCAAGCCCACTACATTTGCATTTCACTTCCTCCCATAGAATCATAGAGTGCTTTGGGTTGGAAGGGACCTTAAACATCATCTCATTCTAACTCCTCTGCCATGGGCAGGGACACCTTCCACTCGACCAGACTGCTCAGAGCCCCATCCAATCTGGCCTTGAACACTTCCAGGGATGGGGCACCCACAACTTCTTTGGACAACCTGCTCCAGTGCCTTACCACCTCACAGTAAAGGATTTCTTCCCAATATCTAAGAATCCCTTTTCAGCCTTCTTGTAGGCCCCTTTTAGGTACTGGAAGGCTGCTATAAGGTCTCCCCGAAGCCACCTCTTCTCCAGGCTGAACAACCCCAATTCTCTCAGCCAGTTTTCACAGGAAAAGTACTCCAGTCTTTTGATCATTTTTGTGGCACTCCTGCCGATTCTTCCCAACAGATCCATGTCCTTCTTATGTTGAGGGCCCCACAGCTGGGTGAAGTGCTCCATCTGGGGTCTCACAAAAGTGGAGTAGAGGGGGAGAATTACCTTCTTCAACCTGCTGGTCACGCTGCATTTGATGCAACCCAGGATGAAGTTGGCTTTCTGAGCTTTTCTGAGCTGCAAGTGCACGTTGCTGAGTCATGTTGAGCTTCTTGTTGACCAACACCCTCATGTCCTTCTCGCCAGGGCTGCTCTCAATCCATTTTCCGCCCAGCCTGTATTTGTGCTTGAGATTGCACTGACCCAGGTGCAGGACCTTGTGCTTGGCCTTGCTTGAACTTCATGAGGTTTGCACAGACCCACCTCTCAAGCCCATCAGGATCTCTCTGGATGACATCCTTTATTCCCTGTATTGACTGCACCACACAGCTCAGTGTCATCATCAAACTTGTCCATGTCACTGACAAAGATGTTAAAACAGTGCCGGTCCAAATACCAATCCTTAAGGAATGCCACTCATCACTGGTCTCCACTTGGACATCGAACCGTTGACTGTAACTCGTAGTGACTATCCAGCCAATTCCTTATCTACCAAGTGGTCCATCCATTAAATCCACATGTCTTCAGTTTAGAGACCTGGATGTCATACAGGGAAGTGTGTGTCTGGTTATGTTGATAATAATTTTTCATCTGCTCAACTCAGGGCATTTTATGTTTGCTAGGCCAAGCACCTTGGAAAGGCAAATAGGTAAGATGAAATAAAGTTTAGTGTTTCCTCTGTTTTTCCTCTACATTACATCAGGAAATACAAGTGAAATACAGAAAATAGGAAAAAACTCCTATATATATTATATAATACATAAAAATACATGTAAGTTTAAGAATCCTTTCTATGTCAAATTAGTATGGAGAGACAATTTTCCAGCAGCTTGTAAGAGGAAATTATACTACTGATTCATCAGACAGGGTAGCATGCTGAATGCATATTTGGGTAGTGAGTTTTCCAGGTTATAATGGATCATCATATTTAAAGGTCATTAATATAGTATGTAGTTGAAGAATGCTACTGAAAAGTCCCCAGCAGCCGTGCCTTAGAGGACCACCAGCCTGCTACTGCCTTCCACTGTGTGCTTGAGTGCCATCATGTGAAAATCAGTACTGAGCAATAACAACAGACTCAGCGCTGAGCTGCAGAGGTCTGGCTGATCGAATCTAAAGCCCAGGCCACTCAACATCAGCTGTTTATAGACTGTGTTTCAGTACACTCAGTTGATGACTACAAAAAAACCAGATTTTATTTTATTTCAAATAAAACACAAGGAAGTGTTTTAATGCTCTTCTCACAATAGCAATATATTGAAATGCAGAGGATGGCAGTATTTCTGGTTGATCATAAATTCGGCCAAAAAGCACATTGAGGCAAAAAATTACCCATTGAGGGAGAAAGTGCCTCCCCTCTTTGTAAATTCAGGACCTGAAGTCTGAAGCTGTGGCAAAGCTGAGGGGCTGGACAAATAAAGTTAGTTTTTGGTTTCTAGAGATAATCTCTATAGTAGAGATTTGAATGAAATATATAGCAGAAAAGAAGTTTAAGTATACTTTGTTTCCAGAACCATCTAGAAAATAAATTACATTTTTCCTGGGGTGGCAGTTGCTTAACAATGAATAATTCTTTGACATCTATTCCTAGCATTTTGATACTCCTTTTTTTGTCAGGAATATGGAGTTCAAGCAACTCCATGAACTTCAGGTCATACACTTGCAGCGTATCAGAACAACGGTCATCTTGGTGGGGGAATTAAATCTTTGATTGTTTACAGGACATTAGTTTAGCTAATGTTAAATGCTATTGTTAGTAATGTTTAAATATTCTAATTAGATGTTGACAAAAGGTTCTGCAGGTTCAGTTCTTGTTAGAAAATTTTCATTTCTCTACACAGGACTGACCAATAAGGGTTTTTCTTCGGAAGAAAGTATTCTAACCTTACAGTTGTTTAAAGTTTGGGGTTTTTAAATAATAGGTTGAAAAATTACTGTGATCTGTAGTGGATTGAACAGTCATCATATGCATTTTTTATTTGTCCAAAAATACCATCTGTCTGCTTAAGTTCCCGTGGACGTTTGTGACAGAACTCTCAATTCAACATACAACCACTTCTTTCAAAAAGATCTGTCAGACTGTAGTGGAGGATATCTCAAATAAAATAACAATCAAAATAACCAAACAATGCAAATCTATTTCTCAGATTTTTATTTTCTGATGTGTGATTCACGATTTCTTGATTTGAGTTGCTAATGAAATACTATGATTTAGAAAAAGTTTTCTGCATCTTAAAAAATTAGCTATTCTTAGACAGCTTCCTAGGCAGAGATGATCTTAATATTTTAATGCTTTTTAACTGCTGCTGGTTTCTTCATTCTGCATTAATTATTTACAGTTTCACTTTCATGGCTTCTTCAGGCCAGGTATAGGAATCAGCCACAAAGCTGTTGTAATCAGTGCTGTAAATCTGAGAGCGGATGAAGGCTTCCAGGTCCTTGGGCTGAGGATAGGTGGAGGCAGTGTTATTCCTGTAGGCTTCTTCTGCGATCTAGAAAGATGCACAATCCTAATTAGTGCGGATGGATTATTGAGTACATTTAGCAGGATTTAAAAGTAGGAATTCGTTCAAAATCAGCATGAGACTTCATATTCTCTGGTGTTGGACAGTCACCTGCACTCACCCTGGATCCAGGCTAGTATGCAGTGAATAAGACTGGATGGAACAGGATGATGTTTGTATTTAAGTGGGTCTGACTCACTTCTGCTTTTGAACAGGATTTCAAAGAGTCTTTGCTGTTACAAATACAGTGCTCCTACTTGCCCAGTAATATCTTAGCTTTTAATGTGCAGTGGTGGATAAAATATCCCACAAGCCCCAAGCACTGAGGTACAATTTCTGCTTTTCTATCATCACACTACCCTGGTTAGCCATCTTCTCCAAAGCACTGTAAGAAAAGTGTGATGTGTTCAAAGCTTCCACACTCCCTGCATATTAGAGAAGTTTACTATTTGCCATCGTTTGATAATATACTTCAGAAAAGGTAATCTCACTCATATCAAAGTAGCCTTTCTTGTCTAAAGAATACCTATGTGAGAAACATATATCTTTAGAATGGACATTCAAAAACAGAAGAATTCAGTCACACTGGTTTTATGCAGCAGCACTTTTTGGAAAGATACACTTGAAACTGTACTTGGGAAACAAATTAATACTCGTCCTTTGAATAAAAGGGAGATGGTCTTCCTCTTGCTCTCCTTAGCTCCCTTTAAAACATAAATGTTTTAGTTTGGTGAGAAGCTGTAACCAAAGTCACTGTATTTAGATATCTTTTCTAGGATTAATCTGAATCTCAACTCGATTTGACTCAGAAGCACTTTGGGTGTTTATCTTAAGGCTTATCCTCAGGTCTGTGCACATAATTACCATGGTTGAATAAGGTCTGAATTTATATCCAACATTCATTATTCCAAAATATTTTTATATTGCTACTCTCCTGAAAGGGGCAGAGGCCATTGCTAAACCTCTTGGGCTGTATGAGCCAGAGCAAATATTTGCAGGAATAAAGTTTCAACAAAGAACAGGCAGAGAGAATCATTGAATTTTCCTTTTTTTTTTTTTTTTTTTTTTTTTTTTTTTTTTTTTTTTTTTTTTTTTTTTTTTTTTTTTTTTTTTTTTTTTTTTTTAATATATATATATAACATGCACAAGTAGAAGAGGAATTTCTCTCAGTATCTTTCTGCCAAACATAATTTGATTTTGCCTGAGGAATCCAGGTAACATTTTGGCATCTACAGAACAGAGTTTTTACTTGCCTAAGATGACATAAACTGTGAGTGGGAATTTTTTTTTTTAAATACACAAAAGTGAATCAATATAGGGAAACTGTTTCATGCACGAGGGCTCCTTGTTATTCTTTCAAAAGAATATGGAGTAAGTGGAATCATTCACATTAAGGTAACAAAGAGAAAAACAATCATTAGAGAAAAAAAAGGCCACAGAAGACCAGCAAAATAACCTCCTAAAATATTGACCCCCCACCCTAAAAACAGAATAAGAGAGGAACTGAGATAAATGCTAAATGCAGTATTTGAAAGCTTCTCCTCTCCAGGACAGCCAAATTTCTTGGAAAACTGTGGGTTTAGGTCAGTTTCTGAGAATCCAGCTCTGTATTTGCTGGTAATAAAACAATCAACCTATTATCTGCTGACCTAAACCCAAGCCATAAACAAAAAGCATTCCCTGTAGTTATTATTTTGATAGGCCAGAATAACAATGGGAACAAGAGGGAAGAGTGCCTGGGCACGGGTGGACATTTACTCCCTTGACAGGCAACTGATAACCATGAAGGGCCGAAAGCCTTGAGATGTGCAGCTGGCACGACTGGGGCTGGGAACCTGCTCCTGGCTGGTGGACAGCACAGTCTGGGCTCTACAGACAAACACTTGCTACAGTTCCGTGGCTCTCCTTCTTGCATTTGGGATTACATTTACATTTATGAATTGAAGTTTAATTTTGAAACTGCTACGTGTCCAATATTGATTGATGTAAACCAACCTCGACTTGTGTGAAGGTGTGCTGGTTGATCAAATCAAATCAAATCAAATCAAATCAAATCAAATCAAATCTTCAATTATGTAGAGAGTATGGGAAGAAGAGAAGCCACAAAAGGCTGAAATGACTTACTCTCACAGCAATTTTCAGTGACACATCCTGAATAGTGACTAATGGAGGGTAGAGACGACCTTCCTGTAAATTCTCCTCTGAAACTTCCTGAGCTATAACCTAGAAATGAAGTAGACATGTTTAACTTGACATGCAGATACAGACGGATCTTTATTAGACAGTGATTAGTCTTAAGCAAAAAAATGTTTCCGCTTTGGCAAATCACACAGATATTGTTTAATCAACCTAGGCAGTTTTTTTTTTAGAACCTGGTTTGTCATTAGGAGTAGCTACACAAGAACTAGAAATTTAGGGAGTTACGCCCTTTTCTCACTCAGACAATAAGACTTATTCAAGTTTTGAGTAAGTCATGACACACATAAACCAGTAAATAGTTCATAATGAGATAAACATTCCAGCTAACAACTGTAATCAGATCGAAGACTTCTAGAATTCAATGCACCTATTATTCTGGCAGTTGTCAAGTCAACCTGTACAGAGAACAGCTGAAACCCCTAAGTGTAAAATGCTCTGAATGAAATTACTGGTGACTGAGTAGGTTTGCTGTGTGTCCAGCTCACAGATCTAGCCTGTATGAGATCATAAAAGTAAGTATGAGTCAACCACAAAACAAAGCAAAATAAGATTATCCAGGGCCTTTCAAAGCCCTGCTGGTTGCTGTAGTTGGATTTTGAAATAGAAGGTCTAATGCTAAATTCTGGCTTGCTGGGACAGAAAAAACATGCTGTTAGAACAGTCTGTCCACACCACTTGAAGGGGGTCTGTTGTCTCAACCATATCAAGTAACTAAAGAAATTATTTTGCTCTTTGATTGATTTTTCACGAGACTGACCAGGAGAGGAACAGTGCAGGGGTTTCAGTGCACGTCTGAGAGCACCATTGCCTTTATGGCTTGAATATTCCTGCTTCGTCTTCCTAGCAATACTGGAAATGTTTTGTTGCCATCACCAGCAATGAACAGATGAGGAAAGCACAGCAAGCTGGAGAAGGTGGTTTTTACTGTTTACTCATTGGCCACATGAAAAACCTCCTGTTACCACAGGTTGTGAGGACACTCCGTGCGGAGTGAGGAGACACTGCTTGCACTGCGTGCTTATGGGCTTACTTCATGAACTTCCTCTATTTCTGCAACAGAGACCTTTCAAGAAGCAAAAGGTCCTGGGGCTGCCTTTGGAACTAATGATATTTCTGGTATCATGAGGAAAAAAAATTGGTTGTCATTTGGGGACTTAAAATAGAAAATAATCTTACGGGGTGATCCAGATGTAGATAGAAGAAAAACTCTGGTCTGGATAGCATCTGATGACAACATGTAAGACCCAACAAGGTTCTGAAAACACTAGGAAGTTCTGAGAAGCACTGAAGAATGCAACGGATAACAAAGAGAAAGCAAGAAGTGCACTTTTGAGGGAATTTACTATGAAGATACTTGAAACAGAGCAAACTGTTTCCAACAGTTCCTGTTGCATGTGGGAAATATAGATTACTTGCAAAAAACTAGAATGGCATCAGAACAGATGCCTAGATGTCATCAATGCATCCTTTCTGGCAGAAGTAGGTAAGTAGTTTGAACCACAGTAACTCCAGGTTCAAAGAGAACCTCTTGTGCAATCTAACTGCATGTTGGTAGGTGTGGTAAGTTTTTCCATTTGGAGTTAAAATGCAACCCAGAAGAGTAGTAAGAGATTATACTCTTGAGTATAACAAGTACAGGAAAATTACTTGTTTACATTTAAATCTGATACCGAGAAATCCAGCAGAGAAAAATCCTCTAGGGGGAGCTAAGAGAACGTGAAATCTAGATACTGCTCCCCATAACAGTAACTGGGTTATTTCAAAATGATTCACAGCCCTTTGATGTGCATCTGAATGAGTAAAGAGGAGCTTGCAACATGAAATCTCTGATGTTAAAAGTTTATCAGGGCTCTGTAGGAAAGGTGAAATCTGAAGAAATCAACAGCAAGCTGCTGGTAGTGTAATGCATCACTGAAAAAAAAAATGGTTCAGAAGTGAAGTACTTCTGTTTTGTGATGGGGTTGATAGAAAGTAACAATATTTAGGCACTGTTGGAAGAGGGAGAGGTAGCAAGTTCAACTGTATAGATGCCATGCTGTTACTTCTAACGTAACGCTGTAAAATCATTTAAAACTATGCAAAACCACAGAAACTAGCATTTTTCAAAGAGAATGACACCTTCGTGTGGTCTTTAAAACGCACTCCTTGAGAACACCAGACCAGTGGCAGGGGAAAAAATGATGAATCAAGATTTGGCATTATTGAGAAAGTAAGAGTCAACACAGGAAATGTAATTGAACTAATATATAACTTCACAGTGTAACACTGCTTTGAGCAATTTGTGGTTTTGCTTCACGTACTTCAAATAAGAATAGAATAGAATCCAGAGGGGTATAAAGAATAACCAAGAATGATCCAAAGTTTATATTTTGTACAAGGAGACAAAAAGTGATAAAATAGACTTGGGAGATAAAAAGAGAAGACTGAAAAAAATGCAAAAGATAAATGAAGGTGAGCATTTCTTATGGTTCTATAGGGAAACCAAATCAGCAGACAGCAGAAAATTCTAAGAGGAGGGTTTCTTTGACCACAGAACTCCTAATTGCGACACCAATTGCCAAAAGATGTTTGAATGTATGACCATGTTTAAAAAGCCACTAGGCTCATTTATGAAAGAGAAATCCATACAGGGATAAAACATCCAGCACAGGAAGGCCATACAGTACAGGATGCCAGATACTGAGAAGCCATTTCAGCAGAAGGATTACTCTGTCCTTCTTCTCTATTTATCTTCCTTTCCTCAGCTTCTGCTATGATTACTTTCACAGGAAGATACTGAGCTGTTTGGATCTTAGGTCTAACCCAATATGGATATTTTTATGTTTTAAATCTTAATTAATTCAAGGTTTTTTTGTAGAAAAATTAGCTAAGCCTTATTGCAGAACCTAAATGAAAAACAACCAAGACAAGACAAACGGCATAAAGCAAGTTGGGCCATCTTGGTTTTAGGAGGACATATTCTCCGTAATGAAACGGGATTATTTTTGGAGTAACTGAACCATAGGACACACACACCAAGAATATTTCACTAGTTCATAATTCTCTGTCCCTTTTGTTATGTTTGGTAAGACTTTGAAGAATAGGTAACATCCCTTGTCAACATAGAGCAATTGCCTGCAATTAAGAGGTAGCTTTGATTTATCATCCAAACTCAAAGTTATGTTCTATCTTACTTGCAAGGAAGTGAAGAACAGGAAAGTTAAATCTGTTGTAGTTACAATAAGCTATTTGGGACTTCTATCATATTTAGTTGAAGAGGTGGCAAAGCAAGAAGACAGGAGGTGCAGGTATGCAGCCTGGGCTGCTACTTTTTATAATTTCTTTTTTTCAAGTAAGCTAGCACCTCAATCTAAGAAGGTCCCTCTGCCCTAAAAAAGGTGTGGTTTTGGTGCTTTACATTTTGCAGCATCTTGGATGCTTTCATTTCAAAGGAAGACTACTAAGCACTACTCTAAAACCCACATGAAACTATTCTGATTTTACCCTCCCATTAAAAAAAGACAACAAAACAAAACAAAACAAAACAAAGCTCTTTTGGTTTGTACTGTAATTTCAGCTAAGGGCCTATGCAGCCCTCCCCAGTCTTCACACCCCTGACACCTCTTCTGGTAAAGCCTCCTGTGACATCCACGAGCTGTTGCCGTGCCCAGTGACTGGCTGTGGCTCACCCAAGCCCAGCCACCCACTGCCCCTCACATCCATAAGGAGACCACATGTGAACACCCTCAGCTCTGAGCCGTAAGACAAGAGGCTAATCCAGGGATATTGCCACCGACAGAGACTTTCTATGCCAGACGAAAGATACATTTTTATATTTCAAAGTTTTCTAGGGGTTTTATTAGAGGAAGACAATTGTGCAGCAAAACCTTCACCAAAAAAGAAGAGTCGGGAGAGAACCTCTACCTCAAGAGAGAGTTTAAAAGCTTCCTCACCATTTCTGACACTAGTTTACTTCCCTGTTAAATTTTTTTGTTCAGAACAGACTTTTTTCTAACTTAGTCGACTGCCACTTGGAGCACAGTTCAATCCACGTATGTGCCACTTTTCATCCACCAGAACCCTACATATAGGAACCATTTCACACAAAACAAATTGAAGCAACTTCTACACTGAAGTAGGACAACTGTGTAACACAGCACTTTAGACTGGAAAGTGAGGATCACCGTATCCAACTGAAATTACAGGGGAGGATTTAAAGGGAAGATATAATTATCCAGAGACTTAGGAGATGGATCATTGCCCTCCTAAGATGGTTAAAGCCAGTGGAGACAGTCTGGGCCTTTTTAAAGATGGAAATTGTGAACATCTTTCTTACAGAGGGCAGGCTGCTGGCAAACTTTTTTAAAGATGCCCATAGTATGCACTAGCATCAGACTTTTAATTACTTTGCATGGACATGGTCAAACCAACATCCACTGCCCAGGGCTTTCTAATCCCTGAACCTTGGCTCTTTCTGAGCAGGATGAGCTTAGGAGCACATTCCTGGGAGCTGAGTAGCCAGGAGCTTATACAGGGATAGCCCCCATCACTATGGGGGAAGGAAGGAAGCTGAGTCCTGTGAGGCTCATTACACTGATCCAGGCACCAGCCAAGAGCAGAACCAACAGAGGCAATGGAAGAGAGAGGAACTCTAAGACAATCCAGAAAGAGAAGAAAAAGAAGAGTGGGTCTCGGAGGCAGGAGTGGTAAGGGTGCAATGGCGCTGTAGCAGATGAGGAGCAAAGATACTGAACTGAAAAAAAAAAAGAAAGTTTAAATTTTCTTAAGCGAGAAACAGCTGAAGAAAGACTGGCGTTGTTTTGGGGAATTTTTTGTAAAAAAAAAAAAGTGTTAAGCATTTGATTTCAACCCCTGATGCCAATTTATTTTGTTTGAATATAAGATTCTCAAATAATAAAGGCCACATTCTTCTCCCCTATATGTTGAAGATAAAATTATGTGCACTTATGATATCATAATGTAAGACAGTGGATGTCAGATCTGGAACAATCACTGGAAGTAGGTGGTGAATGGCTCCCAGAACCAGAAGTGTTTCCTCTCTGTTCATCTCTTGCCCACTAAGTAGAGATAAAAGAGGAGAGATCACATTTTGGATAATGTCAGAACAAAAAATTGCCTGAAAAAAGAGAAGAACCAATGGAAAAAACGAAAGGAAGAAAAACAGGAAGAATAACATCACATTTGTGTAGAACTGTGGCACAAGGAACCACAAGGCAATGGAGCACTTCCACCTGCTGTTGACAAGGGAAGTCCACATAAAACAATGCCAATGGCTCTACTCAAAAAAAAAAAAAAGGGTCGAAAGAAATTGAAACACTTTTTGTAAGCAAAACACACACACAAGTCACACCAAAGCTACTAACATCAATAATAATAATTCCTTTCTATCTAAATGAAACCTATGTGCCTGTGCATGCAAGTACATATGTGCATTTACCTGTGATAGGACAGTACAGAAGTCTTTCTCTTTTTTTCCTTCCCAATAGAAAGTGAACTTTATGTCAGATGACCTCAAGTATTAACTTTTTTAAAACAACTTATTCAAAGAGAATTTATAAAAAACAACACACTTTGCATATAAAGGCCTTACACAGGAAGCAGTATTTTTCCAGTCCTAAAGTTTAGCTATTTCTGTTTAATTGCTCAATAATACTAAGCCACTAAATAAAGGAATTTAAATAATTTTGAATATGGTACCTCAGCAGTTGTAAGGAATACATCCTCATCAATATGTCTCAGTCCACATGAAATAACACCAAGGGCAACTCCTGGGAACACATAGGAATTGTTACCCTGTCCCGGATAGAGAGTTTGTCCACTTGGAAGAGTGACAGGATTGAAAGGACTTCCACTGGCAAAAACGCCGCGTCCCTAAATCGTAACAAGAAAGCCAAAAAAAGCACGTTAGCTGAGAGATTGCTGTTGAAATATCACACAGAGCCTTCTAAATATCCACCACTGTGGAAGGTGGGTTGCATCTATTTAGTATCTTTTCTGAGGGTGTTGGAGCTATTTGACTGAATATGTCTCGAGAACATCAGGATGCTGATCCTAGAGATCACTGGTGGTTCTCTGCGACTGCCTGGTGTCAGATAGTAACAGCTGCCTTACTCAGGTAAGAGCTCTCCATACAATTTAGAAGGGGAGAAACAGAAAGCTAGCACTCATTATTCACTTTGTGAGTCCATGCCAGCAGAAGGGTACATGGGAAGCAGAAACGCGTCTGGAGCTGTAAAACTCAAAGTGGACAATACAGTCAACAGGTGATGCTACTGGATTCCTTTTTCCCAAAAAGAAAAGCATCCAAAAAAATGACACCAAGGTAACTAAGTGTTGCATTTTTGGATGGGGCAATTTTATGAGGAGCTGTGAGCAGGTAAAGCTCTTTGTTCTTCCCAGTTCCTTATTTCAGTCCCTTGGGCCCACCCCGCAGCTCAACAGAACAACAAATGGGCAAGCTCTGTCCCAGGAACATCATCCCACAGCGTAACCTGTTAGTGTGGGACTTCCTCTGCCTGGACTTTGTGCTTCCCCTCTTCGTAATATACTGAGCAGGGTGAGGGCACCAAGTCAGGCAGTGGCCAGTACTGATGAACCATTAGAATGCTTCCCAGCAGATTTTTGGGTAATGACAAGTAGGACTGGGGCTGACAGGGCCCAGGCACCATGCCCAGACCAGTGCATGTAGGCAGTATGGCAGAGCCAGCCTGTTTTGGGGGAATTAGAGAATTTAGCCATAGTTCTTGCCTCTCTGGGGAGGGAGCACCCTCAAATTTAAGCAGTGAGTTCAGATGGAGAAGAAAAGTCAGGCTTTATTTATGCTAGCACTGCTGAAGTGATAAATGTCACTGTCGAATACTTCAGAGGCACTTTATATCTGAAATACCTATGCCTGTTTTAGAGAACTGGAAACGTGCATTTTAGAATATGCCACTGTTGCTATTCAGCTCTTCAGAAGAATATTTTGTTTGGTTTGGTGTCATGCACTATTATCATGGCTGGCTTATTATATGTTTTGGTGACAGATCAAATACTTCATTGTGTCTTCTGCTCTGTTTACCAGATGTGGTTACCCACTATAACCAATACTTCATGTAGGCTGCTTCCCTGGCACCTGCCCCGTGCTGTAATTGCATCTGTGCAGTGGGGAATAGACATGCTAAATTTGTCTTTTAAACACTGCAAAACTGTCATTCAAACTGCCCTGCATTTAACAAGAAATCCAAACACAATCCAGTAGCAAACATACAGTCAAATACTCATACATTTTAAATTCTAAACTGAATTACAGGATAACATGATTATTAACACTTCTATAATACAACAATAAATAAGCAAGCACAGTTCTCTTAATTTTCACCTATGTTTCTATAATAGAAATCTTTGTAAGAGGAGTCAATTACCCCAATTCTTAATGAAGAATGATTTTAAAGATTATGCTTCATGTATTGAAATATTTTCTAACCCTAAAGACTATTTCTAAAATCTCAAATGAAAAGCATGCCACTGTGTGTATGCATGTATTTCACAAAGTGGTACAATTCAAAAACAGACATAAGGCTTTAATCGTTGATGGCTTCTGATGCTTCAGTTATAATAAAGGTTATGAGTCTTGCCTGACACCAATAAAATCTGTTATATGTTTTATGAGAATGTAAGCATGTAGAGAATTCAGTGCAATTGTCTTGATAAAATCTGAAAAACCTGTTACTTAATTTAACTAATTCTATCTATGCACACAGACATGATTAGTACTTGCTACTGAACCCTCTGTCCTCCTCCCAATTTAAATTTAATTTCAGATTTACTTTTCATGATGTATACTGGAGAAATGTTAATCTTTGGTTACCTCTGTATATTTGTAGCACTGCTCAGCAGTGCATTCTGCTTTGCTGGTAGGATTGCTGAGAGCAAAAATTATAGGACGTTTGTTTAAAGCAGCCATATCCTGAAGAATTTGTTTAGTAAAAGCACCACCAACTGCAGCAACTCCTAAAGAAGAAGAACACACACATAACAATAGACAAATTAAATCAAAGTAGGACATGCATGTCACTTGTAAATGAACAGAGCTCTTTTTACTGCCTATCTCCCTCTTTAAAATGGAGTCCAACCTTTTTCCTAACACGTGGTTAAAATTAAGTTTTGTATAAAAGATCTTGCAACAGTGAAACTTCAGTATTATCCCTAACATGAGGCAGAACCTATTCAACCCTGTACAATTTGGTGAATTTCTCCTTTCACTTTTCTCAGGCCCTTTATATAACTCCTAATCTGCAGGTAAGCCCAGTAAAGGAGAGATGCAACTCTGGCTCCCAAAGTCTTATGCAACAGACTGGATAGTTTCTCCCCAATCCAGTGTGTCAGATTTCAGTCTTTTCTGACATGGTGAGTAACATCTCTGCCTTCTACAGCTGAGCTGAGCTGATGATTAATCCCAATTTTGAGTCTAAGCCTTCCCTGACAGCAATTTTTTTTTGTTTAATATATCCCTTTTCATCTCACCAGATACACTTTTCTGTTCCCTATACTGTCCATACTTATAAATGCTTTTCCCAGAACTGAATGCCAATCTTGCAGCATGAAATCATCTAACTTAGGTTGCACTCTGCTGCACTGCAGACACTCAGAGAGTATTACATCTTGGACCTCAGACACTTCACAACCGAAAAGGGGTGTGTGCAATATTTTTGAGATGCCAGGTATACCCATATTTCTGACTAATCTATGAGAGTGGGGAGGTCCTTCCTCCCCACACCTTTAGTGAAAAACAATTAAACAGATCTTGGAGTAAAACTCAGCACCTTTGTTTTCCAGGAGGCCCCTCTCACCCGGCTTGGAGAGAAGGGAGTTTCCTTCTTGCTCAGAGCCCAAAGTGCCTGACAGCCCATTCTGCTTTCCACACAACATCTGAGTTTCAAAAGCAGTAAAAAGAGCTGGTTTTCCCTCTCGTGGGGGAGTGGAAATGGATTAAAGCCTGGGCAGGGAGAGGAGAGCCTGGAACTTGGGTCAGTACTGTAACCTCTTGTGACTCACGCTCAAATGATCACCCTGACATTGCCCAGTCTAACAGGACATGTTGGTATCTGCCTGAGGGAAGCATAAGGTCCTTGGAGGGAGGTGAAAGGGGCCCTCACTGCACAGAAGTGGTTAGAAGGTCATGCTTCAGGATTAATATTTCTCTGCCTCAGAGTATTTTCTGACTGATTCCACGTGAAGTGTGGTATCATCTGTCACACAGTATTATTTTTTGCAACTCTGAGCTCTCTGTACTTCCCCTTCTACGAATGGACAAGAATGTTTAGATGCAAAAGCTCTGCTAGACCAGCTAGGCCACTCTATATTTGATGAATAGTTAATGCAGTCATGATTCTGGCCCACTTATATAAGAGCCCATTATACACCCTGGTTTCTGGTTTAATCTTCAGTTGTCAAATGTTTGATGCATTTGCTTCTGGACAGCCAAGAGTAAGAATGACAACTATCTTCAAATATAAAGTTAAAACAAAATGCTCATTGACTTTTTTTTTTTTTTAATTGCAATTTCTTATACTGAGTCAAGCTAAATTAGGTCTTTTCCTTGAGGCATCATAGGCAATGAAATATATATGAGGATTTGCTGAGCCAGAGCTAAGTAAAACATTGGGAGAAGGACTATCAACATATTTTCCCATGACTCTGGGATTTTTTGGGGAGGGGGGGATTTTTGGTTTGGGTGAATAGCCATTCAGTATCCTCCCCAATATTAGTTTCAATCGCTGTTTCTGATAGAAGAGCCTTCATTACTCAAAACTTGCAGGATAATTTTCACTGTGGCATTTCAGTTTTTCTAGCATCTGATAAATGATTTTACTAGCTAGATAATCTTCAAGTCTTATGTATAAACAAAATTATTCAAGAGTACTTGCAGTTCATTCCTGAAATTGTCACTGAAATATAGTAATCAAACTACAGAAAGCTGAGGAATCTGTTACCGAGATGACAGTCTTACAGCTTTTACAAAAGAAAAGGTCTTTGTAAAATATGCATTTTGGTCTACATAGAGGATTGCTGGATAAGGATTTAATTATGAGCGAAGACTCAGATACAGCACACTCAAAATCACACAGTTTAACATGTGCTTAACTCAGTTTTGTCACTCTAAGTTTGAGGCTGTTTATTTTACATCCACATTAAATCAGAAATAATTTATGAAGGTGGTAAGGTCCTCCAACATTTAAACCTACTTGGATCATCCCCCCTGTAAATGGGTGGCTCAGGGTAAAAGCAGTGTTACATGCCTGGATAGCTACTATTTGTTCAGTTGCTTAATTGAGTCCATTATGCACCCAGTGTTTTCTACAAACACACAAAGGTAAACTCTGTTCCGAGGAACTTGATCTTGTCTTCAGACAAAGCCACATCCCCACTTTTATTCAACAAAGAATAAGGCCATTGCTTTAAAGTCAAAGAAATTACCTATTAGCACAGATGGCTTTATATCTCTAACAATATCTTCTAGATCCTTCATTTCAGCGTGTTCGTGGGCAAAACGCTGCTTCTCAGATGTTAATGAGGCACGCCCCTGAGTAAGGAACAAGAAGAAAAACATATTTATTTTGAGTTTAATGGAACCTAATATCCTGGGATAATCAGTTTACAAAGTATCTGGTTTAACACATCCTATTTTCGTTTCTACTTTTGCGTCTACCATATTAGACAAAATTACACCGTGTACAGTTAATGGGCTTAGGATAATTTAAGACTAATCTATTTCTCTAAGCGGTAGAAAATAACTTTTCTTTAAATTTGTAACAGCTCTAGAACACCAGTCTATTAACAATTATATGAAAGCATCATTAATTTCTTCTTTGAAGCATTCTTAAAGGCGTTTTACATGTTAACATTTAATCAAATGCTTAAAATTACTAATGATAAAGCATAAATGTATTTATAGAGCAAACAGTGCAGATCTGCCGGGGAGGCGGCGAATGGATTCCTAACTTAGCAACACAAAAATAGTTCCTCACAGCTTTTTCAGCTTTGCTCTTGTCCAAAAGTACAGAGACTGTATGGGGTGAGTATGTAGACTGTAAGGGGAGCCTATATTTTGCTAGACATTGTTTAGGTCACTCATTATTAAGAATGGAATAAAAATAATTCTAACCAGATGTCTGGTGCACCATTTTTGCATTGACAAAATTGACTCAGCTGTGAAACAACTTTCACCCTGACCTATACCAGCAATTTCCACCCACCAATGCCCAACAAGGTTCCCAAATGGAATATGATAGATGCCAGAGAAAGGGCTGTAGAGTACCATTGACATGGACTGGGCTGCAAAGAGGATTTGAGCTCAGTGTAGGTAACGTGGAGTGCAGGGCAAGAAGGGGCCAGAATTTTTGAAAGTTATATTAGTTATCTCAATCCGCAGATGCACACAGGCATCTGAGAATTTCAGCAGAAGAGTTTAAAATGTGTATGCTTCCACCCCTCATTTTAGTCTCGTGCCTGCAGAAAACATCACTGCAAAAGCACTTCTCGAACACAAATCTAGACGATGGTTCCAGCCCCTCAAACATCTTACAATTTCAGATGGAAAGAAGCAGATTAAACGGATTAAACAGATATTTAGGAAAGTACATGAGGAAAACTGAATGCCAAATGTAATTTTGCCCAAATAGCCAGAACAGATATGTCTTGGTTCTCCAGCCATAGCTTTTCTAACTGATAAGATGAAAGTTGCTTTACTCTTAGCAAGGTTATTATGACTACACCAAAGTACTGGAACAGAATTCATTCCACATTTTCGCCAAAGTGTATGAATTCAACAACTTTGGCTCAATTCAGGGCTTTGGATGTAAGCCAGGATTAGTCTTTTAATGGCATTTTTGCTCCATTTTAACAAAACCAAGAAAGTTGATGCTACATGTCAGACCACAACTCCGCAATTCCAACGTGTGGCTGTGCCAGTCCCCTCACAGAAGCTCCTCTGCTGGTTCTGGGAGAGCCACTGCAAGAGCTGGTAGGCAGAAGAAAAGGTGGTTTTTCATTTCCAGCAGCAAGAAAAGCACTTCCATCCCAAGGGTACCATGGGAAGCCGCGGAAGGCTGTTATGTGGTCAGGACTGACTGAGCTGGTCTGCCACACAGGATGCCAGCTTCTCTAGGCTCATCTGTGATTAAAAGGAATTTCCAGAGATTTCTCTTCTACAGATTTTTATGCATGGATGGGCTTATGCAGGTCTTAAGTGTTCTCCTAGAGCTATTAGCACAGAAGCACTAAGACACAGGCCCTTGGTTTCCTTTGTGGATAAAATGTGAAATTCTCAGCCTCGAGGGAATGCTGCAATATTAATAATTTTTGGCACATTCCTGCTTGAATCATTCCACTATGAATACACATTTTGCAGTCTGCCCTTTCCCAACGTCCCAGCAGATGTCCCCACAGTCTGCATGCCTGCTTTAGACCCACCTCATTTTAAAGCAGGAATTTTCCTTAACGTTTTCAGGGGGAAAATATGAAGCTTTTTTTTAAGTCAGCAAATAAAAAAAAAAAAAAAAAGCATTTATGACTTCCAGGCCAAAAGCTTGTTGCTAGGAATAACTCAAACTACAAAAGCCACTTTTCATTCTAAACCACTGGTTGGTTGGAATCAAAATGCTCAGTGGAGCCTGACTTGGAGACAGATTTCCTGGGGAGCCAGGAGTGGGTGCTGTGGGCTACCATGAGATCCCAGGCTGCTTCTTCAGCTGGTTCCTTAATGGCTTATCGTACTGCTGTTGAGGAAGCTAGTTTTTAATCTGGCCTTAAAAAACCCCACCTCTAGGAGACTGCCTTGAGCTACCAAGAAAAAAGAAATCACTGCCAAGCACTGTGACCATCTCGTTCTTCAGGTTGTAGCAGGCTGGTAGATCTGATCACCTCCAGGATCTGCAGATCTGAGCAGATCCTTTGGGAAAGGTGACCTTCAATTTTTTCCACAGTGAATAGCAGTCAAGAGGTCAGGCTGACATCTTAGTGGATAAAAATGTTGATATTTTTTCACTTTTAGTCAAAACAAATAAACAAAATACTTCATGAAGTAGTTACTTCTTCATACAGTTTTATTCTTGATAGGCTTTTGAGGAGGTACTTCAATATTTGAAAATTAAGATAATGACAAATCAATGTTAAAACATTTATTTCTGCAACACCAAGGATTCAAAGTCCTGACATTGATGATCATCTCTCATTTACAAAGAAGTAATCAAACATTAAAGATGTGATCCACTGCAACATTTTTCAGGCCACTAGCTAGCGAGATTAGTGCTAGCCAGATGGGTCAGGTTAGGTCAGATTCACTTCTGCCTTATCTTAATTTCTATCTGCTCTTAATTTCACATATGAAATTCTACCATTAAAAAAAAACCCAAACAAACAAAATTAAACCAAACAACCCCCCCCCCCAAACCAACCAAAGTCAAATCCCAAACAATTTAAAATTTATTTATTTATTTATTCATCTTTGGTCTGAATTAACTTGATCCCATTAGTCAGAGTGAATCATGTCTCCAAGTAAATATTTTGTTAGTATATTAACTAAGAATGAAATATTAAATAATGTGGCTTAGCAAAAATAACAGTGATGTACATAGAGATTTTTGCTTGGAAAATGCTTATAAAAGAAATTCTAGAGTTAGGGGGGGCTTAATACATATTTCAGAGTAGATTAGAATTATGAAATGGTTTGGCTTGGAAGGTACCTTTTAAAGGTCATCTGGTTCAACTCCCCTGACATGGACAGGGGGACTTTCCACTAGGTTGTTCAAAGCCCCATCCAACCTGGCCTTGAACACTTCCAGGAATGGAGCAGCCACAGCTTCTCTGGGCAACCTCTGCCAGTGTTTCACCACCCTTTTCATCTTAAAGCTTTTTCAACTTAAAGCTATAATCCCTTGCCCTGTTACTTCATGCCCTTGTAAAAAGTCCCACTCTAGCTTTCTTGCAGGCCCCTTTTAGCTACTATAAGGCTGCTAGAAGGTCTTCCCGGAGCCTTCTGTTCTCCAGACTGAACAATCCCAATTCTCTAGGCCTTTCCTTATAGGAAAGGTGTCAGAAATGTATTTTAATTGCTAATTCGGTGAACCTAAAAGAGCTACATAACACCTCTCTAAAAACTGTGTCCAAGATTTCAAGACCAGGTGATTTGGTTACAAAACACCACTAATTCAGAGGACAGTTGCTTAGGCAGTATTTTTTTTCTCCCCAAATTGACAAATTCTTAAGTTCTGCTCTCTACTAAGTAGAGAGGTGGCAGCAAGAGCATGGTTAGCTTTCGTGCCAACAGGGTAAGCAATGGTTTGCAGGAAGAAACTATTTAGTTTCGTAAATGTTAATCTCAAACTCAGGGGTTGCCAGTCCACTTAGTACAAGCTTCCAGACATCCATCCCTGAATGCTTCTAGCTGGAATAAAAAATTACAGAGGTTTTTGTCAGTCAGCAGCAAGAAGAGGATGGAGCTAAAATGCAGAAGTCTCAATTCTACATTTGTGTGGTTTGCTGTCTTGTTTCCCTGCTGACACTGGAGAGATGCAACGTGGATGAACCTGTCAGTGTCGAGCTGCTCTGACTAAAACATCTTCCAGAAGCACAGAGCCTGTCTTCTGACATTTCTATTTCCAGCCACAGTTTAGCCAGCTTTTGTACTCTGGCTGCTAGGAAATGAGCTGTGGAGGATCAACACAAAGCAGCATAAATCAGAAACTGCTCTGGTCTTCTTGCATCTCCATAATCCTAAGATATTAGCATCACACACAGCTCACTGATATTTCCTTTACTCTTCTAATAGGAAAAAGAAAAAATTTGAAATACTCCATACTAAGAAAGAATTTGAATGAGCTCTGGTATATAAAGCTCTGAGTCTTAAGTAGAAACATCATCTTCAGTCACATTTGGATTTGCCTTCTAAGTCCACTGTCTTGCTCTTCTGGCATTATTAAAAATTCATTCACTCAATGCAAAGGGCTCAGAAAAATCAGTTTAAAGACATGCCTTTTTCAGTACACCAAGCCTCCATATAGTCTCATTGTTTCACTGAAGGACTTCAACACTCGCCAAACAGGGGAGAGATTTTTTCCTGGGGTTCTTATCAAAGAATGTCACTGCACTGTTCAAACAGCTATATGAAGACTTATCTAGACCCGACATCAGCTGCCTTAAGTTGTATTATGTTTTCTATTACATCTAACATACGTAGATGTACATAAAGATACATGTACCTTTCCTCCATCAAGTGACACTCCCCAAATCCCAAAAGGAAGTTTTTCACAATGAAATCCACAGGTGAACTAAAAGATTTAATGTGATACCTGGGCAGCTATTCACAGGGGAATATACAAACTCAAAAACTCTTCCAATAGAAAGAAGGATATAAAGTTAAAAAAAAAGAGACTGTATGTTCTTCTTGCTTTTACTTCCCAAATGTATTCAGCATCCCAAGAAATAAATTAAAAAACCACCTTTCCTTCTATTTTGCAATGCTAGATATTCTTAAATGATTTTCTTAACTTTTATATAATAAGTAATTTGCTAGAGGCATTGTAA